CAGTGCGAAAAGAAATTTGGACATAAACAACATTTGCTTGTGCACCAAAGGACAGTTCACGAGGGTCGTAAAGATTACACATCCGACAAATGCTAGAAATAAATTTAGACCTAAGTCAGCATTTTTGAAGCACTAAATGATAGTCCGCAAAGATCATTAAGATTTTGTGTACCTCCATTGAATTAAAGTTTTAACCGAAACACAGTCTATAAAATTTTCAGAAACTACCTTTCGGACCATTCTCGAATTTTCTTAATATTATGTATGTGATAAATACGCTTTTTATTATAATCGAAAATATGCGCAATTGCATCTAATTTCTCGTCAGATATGATCAATCCAGTCTTCATAATTAATTTGTTGCTTATCCAAATTTCTCGAACTCATTTCAGTCATATGTTTGGAATTGTTCCTTAGAGAATAGAATATCCATGTATCTTATGAATGAAACATATATATTAAAACTTATATAGATCGCAAAATACAACCTTTTAAAAATGTCAATGAAAATGGTGTTAATTTGATTTAGTAAAACTTTATATCAACTATCATTACACCTTAATTCACTGTTGTAGTTAATTCTTCATTTTGTAACCAGACGACTGCTAATTACTACTCTCCGTGCTTCTTTAGGCTCATTCAACGATCTGCCAACAATTTTTTTCATGTCTTGTTTGCGACTGTGAATTGGTCGAGCGTTTGATTGGCTACTGTATTTTTTATAAAATTCAGGTATTGATACGCGATTCTCAATTGATCAAATATGCCCTATATAGAAATATTTTGATTAATTACGGAAAAATACAGATTATATCTGCCAAAAGAGACGCAATCGGTAGCAACAATAATTTTTTTACTGAAAACCCCAACGTGGAAACCACTTGATTATTCAATTTACACCAATCAGTGTTGTTTACTTTATTTAAAATGATTATAAGTCTCTAAATTCATGTATCACTTTTCGTTAAGTACTTTTCACAATCTTATTTTAATAATGCTTCGAAATTAATTTTCCGAGTTTTCAAAAATCGACTGCCTGACCTGTGTGGCAAATAATAATGCTTGTGCAAGACAAGTCTACGAGTGGTTGTCACGTAGCAATTGGTTCGTCCTTCACGACATTTAACAGAAAATGAATTATAAACCGCACAAAATCCTTTGTGTAAATAGTATGTGATTTCATTTACAGAAATCATTTTTTCTGCGGTATTGTCTCGCGTATAGGTTTGCGTCAATCGTTTTCTTGTATTACATTTGTTCCAGTGATAAAACTATTTTTTTTTACAAACAAAACACCGATGCCCGTAAATTTTTAATTTTAATTTTGAGGAGTGACTGTTTCCACCGACTAGCTTGCAGATGGCGTCAGATTATGGAGTATGCCAACCAAGCTAAGGTCAACCGAGAAGTCGGGGGTTCAAATCCTGGCGGTGGGCTGGTTTTTTCCCGAGGATTTTTTCTGCGGGGTTTGCACCGTTGGGTGTAATCCGTGGAAATTTTCCTTGGAAAAGAGCCGGTGCACTTCAACTGCGGTCTCTGGTGTTGGGGGTCACACCATTATCAAAGCGTAACCTCAGTGGTATGGGAGGCGCAACCATATCGACTATAGGTACACGCTAATACACTAACACACACACTTACATATACACGCAAGACCCACCGTTAGGTAGAACGGTGAGGTTGGCCAATTAGCCTAGTAGNAAAAAAAAAAAAAAAAAAAAAAAAAAAACCAAGCTAAGGCGTCTGGGGGTAGCAGCAGATTGGGACGGCAAATTTCGAAATAAATATTAAAATTTTTCATAATTTAGGTAAAAATAATTCCTCGAAAAAATCGTCACCAAGTTTGAATTTTAAACTGGTTTAAATCTGTGGTGGAAAGGCATAACGACTTAAGTCCATTTTTCGTGTTTTCGAGAAAAACGCGTTTTAAGTTGATTGTGCCAGCCTAACTAAACGCGGACGAGTCGAGATCTGAACCTATGATATTTTAAGCTGCTATGAGGTAGCTTTTCAACTATGTACTTATGAAATTGAAAGGCGCATCATAGCGATGATAGGGAGCAAAAAATATGGACTTAAGTCGTTTTGCCTTTCCACGGTTTGCACTTAAGTCCACTTTTGTCGGTCACACTTTTTTCAATATCGATTATTTCGTTCAGTTTGTTCGCACAACCTCATTTAATGATTTTACATTGATAAGATAGCTCATTTAACGTTATACTGCCGTCAGATCTCAAATCTTGCAACGAAAAAAGGCCAAACTGAAAATCGCGAAAATGGCCCCTTGTGTATTAAATGTACCAATCGTATAGTGAAATTCACAACATTCGAAGAGTGTGAGAGTTATTTGTATGTACGAGTATCATTTTCTTTCATTTTTAAATCAAAGTAGACTCTCTATAGCATTTTGAAGCTCGCAAAGGTGTACTTAAGTCGTTTTGCCTTTCCCCGGTCTTCGCGAAATGGACTTAAGTCGTTATGCACGATGCTGCAACTAATGATGGACGCTATATTCGTCTATTCTGACATTTGTACCTTAAAGTAAACACTAAATATAGGTGTTTTTCATCATAATATCGATTTCCAAAAAAATGGACTTAAGTCGTTATGCCTTTCCACCACAGAAATATAGTAAAGACAATAGATAAACAGATACATCCGTACTATTTTTAAACAATATGATCATAAACGATTTTGAAATAGTCTCGCAAACACTGATCATGTTTATAGTCAAATCAAATTAGTTGGAATGTTATCGTTCTTGATGAACAAGCCATAATACCACAAGACAAGTTTTACTCATTCATTTAGGTATCACAAATGGATAAAAGTGAGAGGAAATCCGAGGAGGTTATCTCGGAAAATAATTCAAGTGAATATAACATCGTTGATTCAGACGAAAAAAAGTACAATGGTGGTCTTTGCCAGGAGGAATTTACACTAGAATCAAGCAACATAACACATCGAGACAAAATTCACAATAAAGAGAAAAATTACGCATGTGAGAAGTGCGAAAATAAATTCGAGTTCCGAAGTCAATTGAGTAGACACCAAATATCAGAACACAAAGGCCGCAAAGATTTCGCGTGCAATCAATGCGAAAAGAAATTTGTGAAACAATCGAGTTTGTTTACACACCAAAAATTGATACACAAGGATCGGGAAAATTTCACATGTAACAAGTGCAACAGGAAATTTGAGAATAAATCAACTTTAATCAAGCACAACAAAATATTTCACGACGTTTTCAAAAATTACTTATGTCAAATGTGCGCAAAGAGATTTGATACTAAACCCAGTTTGCTCTTGCACATAAAGACAGTACACGAGGCTCGGAAAGATTTTAAATGCGATAATAGCGAAAGGAAATTTGGGCAAAAATCAAATTTGCTTTTGCACCAAAAATTATTACATGAAGGCCGCAAAGATTTTTCATGCAATATGTGTGATGAGAAATTTGGATATAAATATGCTTTGCTTCTACATCAAAAAACAATCCATGAACGTCGCAAAGATTACGGATGTGACAAATGCGAAAAGAAATTTACACAAAAACGGAGTTTGTGCTTACACCAAAGGACAGTCCACGAAGGTCGCAAAGATTACCCGTGCGACAAGTGCGAGAAGAAATTTGGTCGAAAATGGATTTTGGTTCAGCATCAAAAGGCAGTACACGACGGTCGTAAAGATTACCCTTGCGACAAGTGCGAGAAGACATTTGGATATAAACATACTTTGCTTCTCCACCGAAAGATAGTTCACGAAGGTCGAAAAGATTTCGCATGTAATAAGTGTGAAAAGGTATATAGACAAAAACCAGGTTTGTTCTACCATCAGAAGACAGTACACGAAAGTCGCGAAAATTACTCATGCGACAATTGCGAGAAAAAATTTGGACAAAAAATAGATATGTTTCGGCACCAAAAGACAGTTCACGAATGTCGCAAATATTTCGCATGTGACACGTGCGAGAACACTTTTACACTCAAACATCATTTGCTCGTCCACCAAAAGACTGTACACGAAGGTCAAAAAGCTCATTCATGCGACAAGTGTGAAAAGAAATTTGGGTATCTAAGCAATTTTAGAAGACACCAAAGATTAGTCCATGAAGGTCGGCAAGATTACGGATGCGATAAGTGCGAGAAGAAATTTGAGCATAAATCGAATTTAATCAGTCACCAAGAAACAGTTCACGAAGGTCACAAAGATTATGCATGCGACAAGTGCGAGACTAAATTTTCACAAAAATCTAATTTGCTCTACCACCAAAAGACGGTACACGACGGTCGAAAAGATTACGGATGCAACAAGTGCGAGAAGAAATTTGGACGTAAACGTAATTTGCTCGTTCACCAAAGGACAGTCCATGAAGGTCGGAAAGATTTCGCATGCGACAAATGTGAAAAGAAATTTGGACAAAAATCAGATTTGTTAAAGCATCAAAGAACAGTCCACGATGGTTGTAAAGATTTTGCATGCGACAAATGTGAGCAGAAATTTGGACAAAAACAAAATTTGCTCGTCCATCAAAAGGCCGTCCATGAAGGTCGTAAAGATTACGCATGAGACAAGTGCGAGAAGTCATGATGATTGACAATTGTAAATATGTATAGATATTAGTTCACATGCTATTCTAATACGTCAATACAAATTACACTGAAATAATTATGTATCACCTAAACTTCGGGCGTTAAATTATTATTGTACCTTTGTACTGTATCGATGTGTTATGTTTTCAGATTTTGCGTACTACTAATTAATATACGATTTCTATTCATTTTTTGACTATTTGGTTCCTGCATCTGTTCATGCGACCATCATCCAAAAATTTTTATCACGTCTTGATTGGAACTCTGATTGGGCAAAGGATTTAGTTGGCTACTCGATTTTTGATAAACCTGATTACGTAACTCTCTCAGTGAACGACAACCACGTGTTTCCTGCGCCACCGCTACACAGAAGCCACGCGGCTTTTTCTTCACTCATTGTGCCGCTTCCCGCGCTATGATCAGCTCTCCTGTAATATAACCTCTCTTTGAATCTGTCATTGTGTGTGAGCTCCTTCGTATCGTAGGCAGTACTGTTATCATCCAACGTGTTCCCTTGTCACGTTATCAGTTAATTTTGTTGTTATTCTGTAAAATTTTTGTTGCTATCCTGTGTTCTGTGTGCAGTTATACTGTTATCCTTGTGCTGCTATCCCGTTGTCTGTGTCCGTGTTTGTGTGTCCTGTAAGCTGTGCGTGTTGGTTCTTGTACAGCAGTGCAACTGGATTAGGCTCTCGCAAGTAGTTGTAAGTATAAACATATTTTGATGTATTAAATTAATGATAAGTTTCGCGGGAACTTCGTAAGTCTGATTCCCGCGATTATTTTATCTACAGAAACACGTTGCTGCAGTCGAAGTGCTCACGGGAGCTGAGTTCTCTAATAGGAATGCTCGCACGGAAGCCAAGTCTCGTAATACAAGTCCTGTTGTAATATTTTCTTTCGCGCATCCATAGCTTTTAATTGCGATCAACTACGTGTGTGTTTACTCGCTTGCGTGTTATGTATTTTTTTATAACAATTAAGCTTCTATTATTTTATTTACCCCGTGAGCATTTCAACAACGGGACTATGATTCTGTAGTTGAAATGCTCACGGGCACCGGCCTGTAGTTTAAATGCTCACGGGAGATGAGTCCCGTAGTTTTAACCATAACTAATCAATATGATTCATTATTTTGTTGCAGTTTCGTTTAAAGATCAACATGACCTTCCTCAGTACGTCATGGGTTGACACGAACATCAAATACATGCTGCAAATGCATTACCTAGTTAAAGCACATTCGTGGCTGAAGGAGACAAATGATAAACACTTAGATGTGATACTAGAGCACGGGCTCTGTGCGGATGCAGCTGGCAAGAAATATATAGATAAAGAACTCAGGCGCCAACTGCTCAGAGGATATTTTGAGTCCGTTGGTGGCCTTCAATCCTTTAAAGATCTGGCACCATGCCTTATAAATGGCCCGTTGTGCACTGTTGCGTATCTAAAGAAAACAAAAAATGACGGGACCCCGTAAGTATTTTTCATTTTTGTGAAATACCCAATATATCTTTTTTTAGTTCATGTTATTATTCATAAAATTTTTTCAGTGAATCGGCGAAAGCATCAACTTTGGATTGGTTGATGACGGCCAAACAAAAAAACCCGCATTCCAAGTTCAATCAGATACCTTGCATTTATATTTGCGAGAATGAACTCAGCTTGAAAAGCAAAGAAGCATCAGACTCACTAAGGTGTTTCACTTCCAAAACACAGCTGTCACAAAATATTGCGGACTGCATTTGGAACCTGTATGAAGTCCTTGACTCGTACATCGTCATTAATGAGTCTGATTTGACTGTAAAAGAAGCGGAAACGACCCCTGCATTAGTTAAGGAAAAGATATGTCCAACAATTGGTGTCATCCGACAACAGCTGATCACATATGTGTAAGAACCCGTGAGCAAGTTTTAGTAGCTAACACCATGATATCAAGCAATTTATGTTAAATCTGAAAAATTAACCTACATCGCTTGATATCCTGGTGTTACCGACTGAGTGTGTATAAAGGTCCCTTAATGATGCACCTATTTGAATTTATTTTTAACAATGTTTCAGATCGTCTCACCGGCAAAAGGTTATGTCTGCGTCTTCCTCCAACAGCAAATCTACCAAGCACAAGTCAAGGTCACGTCACGACTCTAAAGATAAGTCTGCGACTCGATCGAAGAGGAAGCGGTCGACATCGTCAAGTGGAAACTTAACGTCTTCGGAATCGTCTCCCGAGATAAGTGCGTCTATTATTGACAAAGTAACAATGGGGCTCTATGATAGCATGAACAAAACCTACCACCGGGTATTAGACCGACTCCGACGAGACATAGACGAGGATCTAATTGCAGAGCTGCACAAAAAAGCTATAGCTTTTAGTGAGGCTGTTGGGATTGTTTTGGAAGAATGTCGGAACGCTGGAGTGGAGGATCAAAACAAGAAGCGACGATTGCCATCGTGTTCCGAACAGGGGCCGATTGAGGTGTGTGGGGCCTGTACGCTGAAATATGGTGGATGCCCTCGATAAGGGGAGCGAAACAGTGTTGTTTACAAGATAAACAAATAAGTTTGAAATTTATTGGTCTCAACGAAGAAAGCCGTAATACCAAAAGATTAGTTGTACTCATTAAATTACCGTGGCATGAAATAGAAGGATCCAATGATTATTTTCGGCTCCAAAATGGATCAAGGTGAAAAGAAAATGGAAAAATTTAAGTGTACACGACATTGTTGATTCAAATTGCATAAAATTTTAATTTTTCGTCCCGAAACCAATTTTTCTACAAATGTAAATATATATAAAAACTTATATAGATGTTCAAATACAAACTTTTATAAAATTTGAATGAAAATAGAGTTAATTTGATTTAGTCCAACCTTATATCAACTATCGTTACACTCTAGTTTACTGTTGTGATTAATTGCAACTGTGAATGGGTCAAGCATTTGATTGGCTACTATTTTTATAAACATCAGATAATGATACGCGACTCTCAATTGATCAAATACGCCCTATAAAAACATTTTGATTAATTTTCCGACGCTTACTGATTATTTCTGTCAAGAGTAACGATAATTTTTTACTGAAAAAATCAACGAAGAAACCACTTGATTATTTAATTTAGACCAATAAGTGTTTTTTACTTTATTTACACTAATTAGAATTTTTTTAATTGAGGTATCGCTTTTTCAAGTACTCGTCACAAAGCTATTATAATAATGTTTCGAATTTAATTTTCCAAGTTTTCAAAAATCAAATAATAATGTACGTGGTGTGGCCTTTTTTCCAAGCCACTTTTGCTGAGAAAGTTTACGAATGGTTGATACGCAGCAATTTGTTTGTCCTTCGCGATATTTAGCAAAAAACAAATTATAAAGACGCACAAAATCCTTTATGTAAATAGTATTTGATTTCATTTACAGTAAGTCATGTTATTCGGCAGTACTTTTAAAAATTTTTCTTCAATTCTGTCATTGAAATTAAACCTGGACTCATTTATCGGTCAATTATAACCATCGTGTTTATTCATCTTCTCAGGCGAGTTGACATCTGCAAAAATCGGAGTCGGACGATCCACCCGATCTCCGTCTTTACAAAGAATCAGCGCCCTTATCGATAATTTACACATTGTACAGCAAGATTCTGCGTCATCTCGTGTATATGGGAGTGTGCGTTGGCGCCGTAAAACGAGTATCACTTATATGTGCTGCGCAGGAGATACACCAACAACGATTTTACCATACACATATAATATTATTAAAACGTCGAGTCCGCGCAATGATAATATTGTATTACGTCGTCGTTTGCGACTCGCGCTTCGGGCGCAAAGCTTATACGAGTCGCGTTATCTTAATGAATGAGTCAGGCCGAGCAGGTATATTACGCTATTATTATCGTCGTCGTCGTCGTCGTAATATAGACCCACATTGATGGAGACGATCGTCGGAAGTTCTGCCGCTCATCGTATATACCAAGGCGGGTCGTGATCATTCCTACACGCGGATAATAACACGTCATGCAGTACGACACTTTTCCTTTACTGGAGTCTCCTCTTTTTTCTACGACTAATTGCAAATTTATATCGTGGTGCATCGTAACTGATGTCGATGAGACACCGTTATGGGATAGCACGAGCACATGCACATAGGCTACAATTGCTCGGGCTTGAATTAGACACTCCTGGTGAAGTATGAATGAGTATGTGACGCGGCAAATTATAGATTCGCGAAGGAATAACTTCCTAGTTGTGCTTACATATTAATTTAGGTGGTGCATTCCACATCATAAACTTGCTATTGAAAAAAGCAAAGTGTAAACATGCCAATCGTTCATGGAGCAGCTTGGAAGATCTCGATTGTTATACACCTCCAATTAGTTACAGAATTATCATAGGAGGAGTGAACTTGAAAGTGTTTGATACGACGAGTAGCCAACACAGAGATCACGAAATAATAAAATAATCGAGGCTGAAACAGCAAAAAGATACATCGATAAAGACTCGAAAATCGTAATTATATTTCTCCTCGCTTCGGTTGTCGCGGTATAACAAGCGCAAAGGGACTATATTTCGAAACGTTCAAGATAACTATTCAAGACTCCAAGGGAGAAGCTAATAGTTACGACCAGTTAAATTACGTTTAAACGCTTAATTAATGCAACAAGATCCTTTACTTTTTTGTAACGCACTCGAGAGCTCCACGATTCTCCGCGGATTCACATGCGCAGAGAACCGGAGCGAGAGCACAATCTGCATCTACAGGTATATTGCAAGTAGATATATATATAAGTAGTCGCGCGCGCATACCGACGTCCGCGATTACGCTGACTTTTCATTTTTTCCGCTCACATTATTATATCTATTCCTTCATGCGGTACAGCCGTATTATATCGCGTAGCCATAATAAACACGAGCCTTTACACAGGGACCCTGCTGAGGAGCATACGACTTTGCTCGTCGTCGGTTCCGCGTCGTTTAGATAAAATTAATAAGCAAATTTATACCGGTCGTTCGGGCGATCGGTATAGAAGCGCGAGAAAAAACGGGAAATTAAGCACGACAACTGTATCGCGAGCGAATGTGTATGGAGTGTACAAGAGAATGAGTTCTTTTATTTACTATTATTTTTCTTTTTTAAAGCGTACTTTTATAAATTGTATAAGGTATATGCCCCTATATTCGGTCAATGATTAATATTAACAACTTAATAGTAAGTAAGAAAATTTTTTTTTAATAATTGGCTGAGTGAATCGAACATCTTCAACAGAAATACATTATTCAGAATCAGATATCGAGTTTCAATCCTATATAAAAAAATTGATTTAAATTTGATTGAAATTAGGGCCTAACTGATCGAAAATAGGGGCGTATACCTTACGGATTGGTGGCAATTTTATTGGATTCGTTTTGTGACTGCGACGGATGCCGCTGAACACGTGGTACAAAATCGACTGCACCAACTTTAAAAATGAATCATTCACTTCTAAACGAACGAAAGTACAGAGATAATCGGAGTGGTTACTGGTCGCAGTTACGAATCGTAATTCACCGAATTTTCATAGAATCGTGCATTCTCTGTAAAAAAGGAAAGTACAGTGTAATAGAGCCAACGCCTGTGACTAGGCATGTTTCAATGTATCAATTTCCACTTATGCTCTATACACGAGTAGACCTTTCTACATTATAGACTTTTCACTTTCTCCCCTCTTACTGCATACGTATAGTTTGCGCCACTTGTATCTCTAATAGATTTGGCCATGTGTTTTTTGCCTAGCTTATAGACCGAAATCTTCGAAAGTTGTCAGTTCACATTTCGACCTCGCGAAGCGGGCATCTACGAGTACCGCATCCATTTCGGAAAGTGATTACGAGTGTTTGTGCATCAAAAGTGTCCGAGTGCGTAGAACGATGTCTTATTTAACGTCTTTGGGAATGAAAGAAAAATCTGATTGGGACAGCGGAGAAGGAATATTTGGGCTTTTGGACGCATTTTTTCACTCATACAAAAATTGTAAGAGCCCATTGGTCAAGACGTTTTTTGAGATGTGCGCCGAGACAAACAACCTGGTGGAGGTCGAGGCAAAGAACAAGTCGGGCAGGACGCCCCTGGAACTGGTGGTGGCGCATCTCAAGCTCGATGTGGTTGCTGCACTCTTGGATCACGGTGCTGATCTATCTGGCTTCGTTTTTCCCACCAAAAGTCAATTCGACAAGGGACTTAAATCGTATGGATGCATGGGGATCAAAATCAAATTGACTCTAGCATCCAGCCTTATGGCCATCTGCGAAAATCTTGTGAATAGGGGATACGAGTTGGACCGAAGCGACGTCTCGACCATCATGAAGCTGTTCGCCAAGTACGAGTGGTTCGAGAAGCCGTCCGATGCTGAAAGAGCTTGGTGCGACGACGAGGAGTTCACGAGAACGGCAAAAACGATAATGGTGAAGCCGAGTCTGTCGCTCTACGATCTGATCCAGTTACAACCCGAAGAGGCTGAAAAACTACTCGCACCGAGGGATTACTTTGAGTTTTCGCTGGCTCGTCAATGGTCATTTTCCGAGGATATTAATCGAGCCTGTATCGCGCGTCTTTGCGAGCAAGTGTCGCGGGGCTTTTTCCGCAACTCGACATTATATCCTTTCCAGGAGGTGACGCGATATCGTCTGCCGATCGAAGTCTGTGAGATGATCATCGAGCGTGATGTAATGAACGAGGATTTATACAGTATCTGCTTGGTGGCGGCTCTCCGAAGGTCCTTCAGAGTTAGAAAAGCTCCGAAAAGACTAAAAATTAATCCTGCCCAGCGTACTTACGATGTTTAATTGGCTCAGTTACCAAACGATACAATTCAGACTGAGAATATTGCTTCAAATGAACACAATTTACTATGTATAAAAATTCATTATCAAATTAATAAAAAAAAAGTCATTTCCCATGAAAAGACAAAGTATTTATTTTTTTCATTCTTTTCCCTATGATCATTAATTAAAAATTGAAAATGAAATTAATTTAAAAATTTTAGGTTTGTATAAGCTGTATTTAATAACTTTTCTTTGATTCTTGCACTATTTTAATGACTAATGAAGCTTTATGAATTACTCCATATTAATGTTTCATCAAGAAAAAAATTCGAAAAATTCATTTGTTCGTATCTGTATTGTTTTTTATCAACGTAACAATGATTTCGTTCAATTTTTATTGCATTCGAATTACCCGCTCAGTAGCTCGAAAGTGCTCTTAGAGATGCGCAGAAGACCTTTCAATTCAAGGCGGTTATGTTTGCCACATAGCCGAATTCTTTTAAGAATTTGCCGATGAAAACGATATTTGATTAGGTGAGTTTATGCCATTTTTTATTGTTATTTAAACTTTTTCAAGATCGTATACCAATGTTACTTTGCTGTTTACGACCAGCTGTCATTTCATAGTTAAATTTTCCATACTATCTTAGTATAATTCTATTGTTGAGTGCATTTATAACACGTGCTTTTTGACCGGACACATTTTGTGACTTGTGTTGTGCAGTTTTATTTTTTTTTAACTTTATTATTTTCAGTCATTATTTAATCGATAATTTGAGTGTAGTTTTTGTTGTTACATAATATTTATTTCATTATTTATTTCTAAAAATTTTGAAAATTAAAAAAATAGCATTGTATAAACATTAAAACTGTCAATTTATTTTTCAGCTAAAAAATGGCACCAAGGAAGGACAAGAAAGTAAAAGAGGAGGTCCAAGTTTCACTGGGACCTCAGGTACGCGA